CACACACACACGCACACACACACACGCACACACACACACACGAGAACACACACGAGAACACACACGAGAACACACACAAACAAACACACACGAGAACACACACGAACAAATTCACACGAACACACACACAGCTGCAACTCAAGCTGGCTGAGGCGCGCGCCAAGCTGGACGGCCCAGTCGACCCCGCCACGGGCCGCACCCTGTACAAGCCCCAGACCGGCCGCGCGCCGGCGTTCACGCGCCACGGGCCGGAGCAGCGCGTGGGGGAGTACCTCTATAGCCTGCAGACTGAGAGGGTGAGGGGCGGCGGGGGGCGGGGCGAGGGCGCGGAGGGGGGTAGCAGGGTGCAGCAGGCTGAAGGGCGGGGGTGCAGAAGCTGGGTGTGTGGGCGCATTCACGGTGAGATACCTTTGGTAAGGTTGTGCCAGGCCTTTGGCGCCTGTTTGTGACGGGCGGCTTTGGCGTCGCGGCAGTACCGCAGTGAAGGGGCCGCAGACGTGGCACTGAACGGGCCAGCGCGACCATGCTATTGCGGAATCCCGGCTGCCTCCAACGCGCCGCTTTCGCCGCGGTGCCGGATGCTGCCTGGCCCCCAAAGGACGAGAAGGCGCGCCAGCGGCTGGAGGAGGAGGAGCGCCGCGCCGACGAGGCGCGCAGGGGCAAGGTGGTGACCGCCAGCGCGGTGATGGTGCGCAAGCTGCAGCGCAAGCGCTTTGAGCAGGTGGGGCGCGGCGACGGTGCAGGAGGGGGGGGAGAACGGGTGCTGCGCGGCGTTAGGGGAGCGGCGTCGGCGATGCTCTTTTTGCAATGTGCTCTACGGCCCGGTGCAGGCTGTCGCGCGCTGCAGCGAGTCGGAACCGCCATACCACCTGTCCCTCCCAGCGAATGGCTTGGCCGCGCCAGCCCTGGTGTCGCGCTGCAGCCTGCGTTTGTCCCGCCCAATGCGTCCCACATCAGTCACGCTGTGCCACCCCAAAGCAGACCCCGCCCTCTCCCCTGGCCTTCTGCAACGTATAATCCACATCTCAACGCCAGGTGTGGTCGTTCCTGGACAAGGCCGGTGACGGCGTGGTTGACCTCGCCGCGGTGGTGGAGGCGCCCCAGGAGTGCCTCGAGGAGCTGGACGACGACGTGAGTCATCCATCGGGCGCCCATCGGGCGTAGCGTGAGGGCGTTGCCTTTGACGAGGGAGGGGGCGTCGCTGAGGGGGGGGGCGGCGAGGAGGGCGAGGAGCTGCGGGGGTTGCATGGGTTGTTTGCAGGCATCAAGGGGAGAGAGGGGGTTGAGGCTGGGGTGAGGTGGTCGCCGGCCGGCCCAGGGATAGGGTGGATGCTGCTGGCGGAGCGGATGGCAGGTTGCTGCGGAGCTCCCGAGCTCGCGCTCCTCCCAAGCCGACGATACAAAGTCAAGATTCCAACACAAAGTCAAGAATACGTTGCACCTGTCGTGATTGCACACGTGGTGATTGACCCACCCCAAAAACCTGCGGCGCAACCCGCCCCCCTCACGACGACCTGAGACCAGGTGCGCGAGGACCTGGAGGCGGCGGCCCGCCTGGCGATCAAGGCGTTCGCGCCGCCGCCGAGCCCCGCCGCCGCCGGCGCCGCCGGCCGCGCGGTGAAGCACCAGGACAGCGGCGCCAGCGCGGCGTCGTCCGCGTTCTTCATGCCGCCGCCGCCGGCGGCCGACGTGCGCGAGGGCGCGAGGGGCGCGGGGCCGCAGCCGGCGTCGCCGCGGCCGCCGGTCGACCCGGCGAGGGTGGGTTTAGGGCTTAGGTTCAGGGTTTGGGAATTGGGGTTAGGGGGGTAGGACGGCTCTCCTGGTAGGGCCGCATATGTCAGGGGCGGCCTTGCTTAGGGCCAGGCGGAGCCTTGCGGTTATACAGCTGCGCAGCCGAATAGTTTTTTGGGGGCCCTTGAGCGCCAGGCGACACGCAGCTGTCCGTATCGAAGGCGATCGCCTCAACTGTGGGTTCGACAGTGGCAAACAAACACCTCCACACACACACACACACACACACACACACACACACACACACACACACACACACACATGCACACACACATGCACACACACACACAGCACAGGAAGGCTACAGCCTTGTGCACACACAACACACACCAGTCCACAGCGGCGCCTCAACACACAACGCCCTGGATTTCTACTCTCTCTCACCGCCCTGACTC